CATCCCTGGGCAAGGGATTCTCTTTCCTCCACACCCTCACCAACTTATCTTTTTAACCATCCTGACAGGTGAGAAGATATCTCACTGTGGTTTTAATCTGCATTTCCCTGGTGATTAGTGATGCCCAGCATTTTTCCATATACCTGTTGGCCATTTGTAAGTCTGCTTTTGAGATGTGTCTACCCAAGTTCTGCCTGAATTTTATTTGAGCTATTTTTTTTTCTATTAAGTTCTTTGTATATTTTGGATACTAACCCTATAGCCATGTTTGACTTGCATAAATATTTTCTCCCAATTCATAGGGTGTTTGTTCATTCTGTGAAATTTACCTCCTTTTCTGTGCAGCTTTTTAGTTTGACATAATCCCACTTGTCTACTTTTGGTTTTGTCAACAGAACTTCTAGAGTGAAATCCAAAAAATCAGTATACAGACCAATGTCATGGAGCTTTCCTCCTACGTTTCCTTCTAGTAGCTGTCTTTGCACTTTCAGGTCTTATGTTGTAGTCTTCATTTGAATCGATCTTGATACAGAGTATGAGACCAGGGTCCAATTTCATTCTTCCCTCTATGAATATCTGGTTTTCTCAAGATCATTTATTGAAGAAATTTAGCCTTTTTTTCCATTGTATGTTCTTGGAAACTTTATTGAAAATCAATCACAAATGCTTGGGTTTATTTCTGTACTCTATATCCTGTTCCATTGGTTAGTGCATCTTCTTTAATGTCAGAACCATGCTGTTTTAATTAGTAGAGCTTTGTAGCATACTTTGAAATAAAGTAGTTTAATACTTCCTGCTTTTTGCTGAAGACTACTTTGGCTCCTTGGGGTCTCTTGTAGTTTTACATGACTTTTAGGTTTTCTTCTTCTATTTCTGTGAAGAATATTAGAATTTTGATAGGAATTGTATTGAACATGTAGATTGATTTAGGTAATAGGGACATTTTAACAGTATTAATTGTCCCAACCCATGAATACAGGATATCTTTCCATTTGTGTGTGTCTTCAACGTCTTTTATCAATGTTTTATAATTTTCAGTATACAAGTCTTCCACATCCTTGGTTACATTTCTAAATATTTTGTTTTGATGCTCTTATAAATGGGATTTTTAAAAATGTCTTTTCTGGGCAGCTGTTAGTATATAGAAACCCTCTTGATTTTTGTGTGTTGATTCTGTATCATGCAGCTTTACTGTATTCATTTATCAGTTCTAACAGGTTTTTTCTTTTTGGTGGTCCATATTTTTTAAGAGTACTTGTCTTTTTGTGGCATAGGCCCCAGTTTTGATGGATGAAGTGGACTGATGTGCTGTCAGAGGGAGAGTGTGGGTGCAGGATGACTCCAGGCTGCTCAGGAGCAGGAGACCACTCAGGCTGCGGATGAATCTGATGGAGTAGCACACTATTCTCCCTCTAGTGAATGTTCGATTTTCCTAACGAAATGTTGAAATGCTATTCCCAGAAGTGCTCCTACATCCATTGTCTCATCCGAGTGGCACAAAGTGAAGAAGCCACATCCCACAGAGGAGGAATGTGCAGAGGGGAGGTGACTCATCAGGCTCCCAGAGCCAGTACCACAGAACGAGCCATGATACTGCTCCTGGAAGGAGGCAGACAGACGATCAGACAGGTGATGGACAGCCTGACACATAGGGGCCCCTCCCGAAGCCTCCAAGACCCTCTTGCTGTAAGTGAAGAAGGCTCTCTGGTTCCCACCTCCTATGTCACCCACTAGAGGAGCACAGGAGACACATTCCTCCACCTCCTGCCAAACCCACAGGGACTCAAAGGCTAAGAGTGCCAGCCTGGGCGGCAGGCACACAGCATCTCCACACCTCTCCTGGAAGAGCCTTCCCCAGGATCCCTCCCTGTCTCATCCTCTGACCACAAAAGATTTTACTGGGTAATAGAAAGCTCTCAGCGGGTGCCTGGAACCTCCCTGCCCCCAGACACAGTCCTACCACACACCCACATCCAGACTGTGTGCCGTAAAGGGGCACCACAAAGTCACAAAATGAACTCTAAAAGAAGAATCCCCAAATGCATACGAGGACTTAGCTACCACTGCTTGGTCCAGCACTCTAACTGCAGAGATGCAGGAAACAACCTAACTGTCCAGCTACAGGGAACAGAGAAATCAACCCAGGCTCCTCTGGGATGGATGTGGGGCTGATCCTGATGTCCGTCTGAGAACATCTCAAATTCCCTTGACCCCAATTCCACAAAAAGCCTGGGACAGACAAAATTCTCCTTAGAGGACAATAACAAAAGTTGTTATCCTCAAATTTCTCTTAATGGAAAAAATGGAAATAAAGTCTTTGTAAATAGGGAAGGGTGGAGGGGGTAAAGGGAGGGCTAGGAATGGGGAAAAAATAAGAACCAAGATGCATTATGTAAAGGTACAATTCCCAATGAGAAATTAATTGTGCTGTATACCTAAAATGTACCAATGAAAGAATTTAACAACAAAAAAATTTTTTTTTCTCTTACCGTTGAAAAAAAAAAAAAAGGGCCGGAGATCTAGCTCAGTGGTTCCAGCATCTGTCTGGCAAGTGCAAGGGCCCAAGTTCGATCCCCGGTACCAAAAAAAAAAAGAAGTCATTAGGGCTGGGGATATAGCTCAGTGGTGCCTCGCCTGCCATGCAAGCACAAGGTCCTGAGTTCGATCCCTGGTACTGGGGTTGGGGGGTGTGCAGCTCAGCAGTAGAACATCTGCCCAGCATGCGTGAGGCCTTGGGTTCCATTCCTACCAGAAAAAAGCAACAAGTCACCCAGAAGGCTATATTCCAACATGCCAACAGTTTGCCTCAAAGATTACAAATCCTAAGCTTTTTTCCTCACCTTCTTGCTATATTTTCTGATTTTTCAATAATCAAATCCAATTAATTTCTGTAATTAAAAATTAAAACCAGTAAAAATAAGAAATGAACTAATGTGCTCCTCCTAAGAATGTAGTTCAGAGCCTTGGCCTGGGTGGAGAAGCCCTGGCTTCCTGTCCCAGCACTGCTGCTCCCTGTCTTCGAGACCTCAGAGGGTCACACTGCCCTCTGAGCCTCAGTTTCCTGTGTGTCACACCAAACACACCAGCTGAGCTCCAGGGCTGTCCTCACTGAGCCTGCTTCTGCACTGCGAGATGGAGATACAAGGCACACCCACAGGTCAGTAAGCAATGTCCCCCACCCCCAACACACAGGGCTGCCCATTTTCCCCTCTGCTCAAACCCTTCCTAATGGCCCCACCCCCAGGCTGAGAGGGAACTGGCCACACTAGAGGGCAAAACTGAGACAAAGCCATCTTCGAGGCCTCACAGGCAAAGGCCAGCAATCTTTCCAACTACCCCTCCAGGAAGGCGGAATGCATAGTCCCATTTCACAGAGAAATGACCAGAGGCTCAGAGAAGAGCTCCTGCAGAGCTTCTGTCAGTAGCCACACACAGCAGCAGGATGGTAAGGAAAGCTGGAAAGGAAACTAGAAATCTAGGTGGGTGGGTCTGTTTGCTTCTTCATTTGTTTTGTGGTACTGGAGATTAGGGGCTGATGCACTGACACCCACACAGCTAGGAAATACAGAGCTGGGGCTCAAGCCCAGGGGCTCTCTCTTGAGCCTGTGCTCCTGTCCTCCAGGCCTCAGAGCATATCACATACAGCCTTTGTTCTAATTACTGAAAATGGGATCCCTCTGCACACACAGACACTGCATAAACCACCTCACTCAGCAGGTGGTCATTCACTAAAGGGCCCTGTGCATACACTGGCTAAGCCTCCTGCCACCAGCTCTCTGCACCTGGCACTGGCCCTGGCTGGAGGCCCACTACCCCCAGCCTATGGGCCCCATGTAGCCATTTCCACATAAAGAACGTGCTCAGTTGCAGAGGAGCCACCCTCCTCCTTGCAAACAGGGGGACAGAGAAGGCCAGGGAGTGCTGGGGCCAGCAGTGCCTGCCTTCTTTCCTCTTAAAAGAACATCCAAGCCCAAAGCTGTCCAAAGGCAGAAGAAAGTAAAGGTTCCAGAGACCGTGTCAAGTCCTAAGAGTTCCAGGCCACATCCCTGATCCACAGACCACCAGGGCTGAAGGGACCACAGAAGCCAGTTGTCCAAGAGGGCCTTGAGCACTAAGACACACAGCAGGGCTACACTGGAACAAGGCGTGACAGGAAGAAGGAACAGCCAAGCAAGGGCTGGACGCCAACTGAAAGGGGCTCACACACAGTCTGCATGAGCTGCAAGAGCAGGAAGAAGAGCCTGCAGGCCAATGTCACATACTCAGCCCTCAGCGTGAGTCCCTGGGCCTCTGCCCAGAGCTCAGCCTATAAGGGAAGCAGTCCATTCCCCTCTGGGCCAGGGCCCCCTGTCCATAAGTCCAGTGCCTGGCAGCTGTGGCTCCCCAACACGGACAGCTTGGGGCCCAGAAAACGATGCTAATTTGCTAGAATTGCCCTGGCCTGGAGCCGCCAGAAGGGGACTGGCCACCACCCCTGGCTCCCCATCCATCCTCTGGCCAGCCTTAAGGCACTTTCCAACAGTCAGAAGCCACAGGAATGGCAGAGTGACTACGGAAGCTCTGACATTAGCCAATCAGGGCGCCCTCTGCTGGCTTACCCAGGCATTCTGTTAGAGTTGGAGACTAATTGGTACCAAGATGTATCACAGCCCTGGGACCTGCCTCTTCAGCCTCTTCTATTAAATCTAGAAGCTGCATCTGCCCTCAGACTTCATTTGTAAACCCAAGTCCAGGTGTCAGAGCAGAAGGACTGAACATTTACCAGCACAAACACCAAAGGCTTTGCTTTTTTTCCCCATTGTAGACATTTTGAAAATACAAAAAGCATGAGTAAATAAGAAAATGATCTGTCAACACACTCCCCTAAAGATACCCCTATAAAGACCTCTCCCTATGCTTTACAGCCTGCCCCACCTGCTGTGTGAGGGTTTTGGGTCAAGGTGCAGTCTGTCTCCCGTATCGGCCAGTGGCCTTTGAGGGCAGGGACACACTCAACTCACCTGTGGGTGACACAGGCAGGTCCACCTGAGGCCACCTTGCTGGATTCAGCCAGGGGCCCACCAGCAGCTCTTGTGCCCAGCTTTGGAGGAAATGAGGTCAGGAGGCAGGCGTCAGAAGCAAAGCCCCAGAGGGCTTCTGGGTACAGGATAGAAACAAAAAAGGACATGTCGGCAGGTAGGGGTTAAGCAATGTATTTTCTCCCTCAGAGGTAGATTTAACAGACCCACTGAAGACTCACCTGTACTAAAATGGACTTGGCCAGAACATCAGAACAGGACAGAAGACCTGAAGTCAGGCCTGGTTCCAGCTCCAGGCCTCACTTGCTATGAGACCTTTAATGCCCTCAGTTTTCCCACCTCTAAATAGGGCTGATCATTCCAGTCCTGCCTAACTCATAATCAGCCCACACAAGGAATGTTTGGGGGCCTTCGAAACTGAGGACCCTTGGGAGGGCCCAGCAGGCCACACTTCTCCAAGGCCTCCTCCATAAAAAGCCTGAAAGTGCCCACTCTCAAAAGCCCAAGGACTTTTGAGGACCAAGAGGGCCCAGAGCCAAGGATCCTGGACTCCCAGCACTGGAGGAGGCGCTCTAGGTAGCACCCTACCCACCTTATGGACCCAACTTCCTGCTCCCGAAGGCCCAGCTGGCCACTTCTGTGCAGCCTCCTCACAGACCTGGGGTCACAGCTCCCAGGCTCCCTGCCTCCTGGAAGGAAACTGCTACAACTGAAGTCAGAGACTGAATCTGAGTCCTTGGTCTTGGCCCAAGCAGCTGTTGGCCACTCATCTCCTGTCCAGCATTAACCCGGGGCCACATCCTACCCATGAGGACCCCAAACATCTTAAAAAGGCTGCTTCTGAGGGAACCCATGCTCTCGTTTCCAGCTTTGGCTTGAGGACTCAGAAAGAACACAGTTCTTGGCTTTTGAGAGAGACAACAGCTCCAAGCCACCCTGAAAAACGTAGTCCTTCCTGTGGCGGTGGGGACCCAGGGAGGGGCCGTGCCTGGCCCACTTCCATTACCCAGCCTCTTCTGAGGTGGCCGCACCACCCCAACCCCCCAGCCTTGTCCTCCTGGGTTTTCTTCCCCGTGTAACATAAACAGCTTATCCTGGCCCCAGGGCGGCCAAGCAACAAAGCACCCTCTGCCATCGTGAGCCAGGCCCTCCTAGGCTCTGAAGGTTCCATCACGGGGACCCCGGATCCCTGTCTCTCTAGGGCGTCCGTCTTGTCATCCGGAAAGCGGGGGCCTCATCTGGGCGGCCTCTTTGGCAGTGCCAGGGGCGGAGGGGGTCTAAGAAGCCCCGATCCAAAGAGCTGAGATGGCGTGGAGAGACCGCAAGGCTAGGAGGGGCTCCGCGGTCCAGGACCAGCAGGCGGCGAACGTCCCGGGCCCCGCGTTCCAAGCGAGAGGGGTTCGCGGGGGCCGCCCCAGGCCACGTCCCTCCGTGCGGGGAAGCCCTACAGACACCGCCGCCGTACCCCACCCGCGACCGGGGGGCATCCTTGCGCTCCCTTCTGCCCGGCCCCGCGGCCCCTCAGAGCGAGAACGCACCACATCCGGCTCCAGCGCCGCCGGTGAGCGAGCTGCATCCGCACTGCGTCCGCAGTCCAAGTCCCGCGCACGTGCCCCCGGAGCCAACGCGGCCCCGCCGCCGGGAAACACTTTCTAGCAAACTATTTCAGCTGCGTCTGCTCCAGACCTCCCCCGCCCTGCAGGAACGCCTGTTTCTGGAAGGCTCCCCAGACGGCGGGCTAGTGCCCTCCCGCCAAGACGAGGACGCCTCCGTCCCAACCTCGTGTCTGACTCAGGGCTGGCCCCCTCGAGAGGGTCCGGCGGTGGGAACCGCCCGCCCACCGCCCGTGCTGGCACAGGCCTTCTTGACCTGGCCTTGGCTGGCACCAGGACAAAGCGTGCGTAAGAAAGTAGGTATGTAACCTGGGAATGGCCCCTGTAGCCCAGGCAGGGGCCCTAGAGTTGGCAGGGAAAACATCTGCTCTGTCTCTGAGGCACCCAGTCTGGGCGAGCAAGAAGTCTCTTCTGAGTCAGCTGGGAGGGGCCTCAAAGACCAAAGGAAGGAGTGACCAAGCCCGAGAGGGCATTTCAGCCGGAGACCTCCCTCAGTCCCTCCCTCCCTACCTGTCCAGAGCTCCCCGTAACCATGAATGGGGTTCTTACTTTGCTGGGAGAGTCACAACAGGTGCCCGTTTCTTAGGGCAAACTCCGAAGCCCTGGCCAGATTGACAGGGTTAGAAACGGAGGAGCTGAGTGAGCCACTCCCTTCCCTTCATTCAGCTGTGGGCACCGCCCCGCCCTGGTGATTATCCAGTTTAAACGTAGGAGGTCATGATGCCCACGGCGGCAGACCATTAGTTCCAACATCAGTGAGAGACGGAATGGGAGGCACCTGGAGTTAGAGCTGTCTGACCCTTTAAATACAGAAAGCCTGAGTTGCGTTAGTGCTCATCGAAGTTTCCTCTTCCTTTTTCCCTTTACCCTTCTGCCTGCTACCTTCCTGTGATCTTCAATGAATAAGGAGGTTTATGCTTGGCAGTTCTTTCCTTGCAGTGCACAAGAACCTGGACTATTTTTGGCTCATTCAATTGTTAGAAGATGGCCTCAGGAAGGGCCTGGGAATCTGCAATTTAACCAGCACATGTATGATCCTGTGATGAGCAGGCTGCAGGAACCTTGGTGCCCTGGGGCCCCTCTGGTGGAACCTGAGACCAAGGACCTCAGCTTAGTTGGAGAGAAAAGACCCTGGTGTGCCATGGTCCTGCTGCCCAGGTGAGCCTGCAGTCCAGCCCAGAGCCCATCCACTTTGAGACCCTGCTAAGGAATCAAACGGGTAGAATGCTGGATGGTGGAAATCCGACTTCCATTCCAGGTGGCCAATAGGAAGTCCCAGCTGAGGCTTAGCTTCCTGTCTGCAGCAAGCCCTCCCAGCTTCCCCAGACTCCCAGGCACCTCCTCTGGGTTCCCACAGCCTCTGGGCATAGGGCATGGTGACACTTGGCTTTCTGGGCTGGAGCTGTTCCACTACCTGTCTGCCTCTCCACTGGGAGCCTGAGCAAGGTCACAGCAGCCTCCAGGGATTTTCCTGAGCAGCCCAGGCCTCCTGGCAAGGAAATGAGGATCACTACCATGGTCACATGGTGAGCCCTTGGCCCTTTTCAGGTAAGACAGGGAGCAGTACTGTGACTTCCCATTCTGTCATCTTCACACTGACCTGTGACAGCAGACAGGAAAACCAAGCTGGAGAAAGTGTTAAACATGCTGTTTGCATCAGTACAGGCACTAGCTGACAAGAGCCAACATCATCCCACTTCTGCTGTGGACATCTTAGTGACAGTTGCCTCATGGAGCATTCAGTCCTCAGTCAGTGATGCTCAAATTGTGGCCAGGGGCAGAGTCCCTCCCACCCCCCACCCCTCACTCTGAGCCCCTGACTCTGCAGAGCTGGGTGTGCCCACCTCTATGGGATGCAGGTCCTCAGACCAGCCTGAGACACAGAAAATAATACTGGAGATGAAATATTATATCTCCAGCCTGTCAGCTGTGTGATATGCCAAGCTCTTGTTCTCTAAAAATCGAAGAATAGATTTGGGGAACAAAGGAGGTTAAGAGTAGGGAGGTATTTATTGATAGGCTCCTGAGGGGCAGGAGGGGACCTGAGTAGGTAGCCGGGAACCCTGCTTTACAGAGGAGTTTTATTGAGTGAAACCCGTGTGGGCAAGATGTGTGCCACAGCCATGATCATCCAATAAGGTTACAAGTATAGTCACTTAGGTAATGGTGGTCCAATTTGGAAACAAGTCCATGACAAGCGTGGATGGAAAGAACAAAGATTCTCCTAGGAACTGGTGGGTCCAGAGGTCTCTGGTCACCCACCAGGGTGGTTGATGTCTATCTAGACTTCATTAGGTCCAGTGTTTGTTCTTTGAGAAAGTATTAGGTCTAGTCATCTTGTCTTTATCTTGAGGCCTGGTCTCCAACCGATATGTCACCAGTCACAGCTGCAGTGTATTTCACCTTTGTCCTAGCCCTCTCGAGGACCAAGCCCTATCTGACTGCCTATAATATTTCTACTTAACTCATCTGTCTATAATAACACTGGTCTCCCAGAAGGGCTGGATTCCTCTCCTGGGGCAGGGTATGGGAATGTGCATTGTTTAGCAGCCCCTCTATGGAAGATCAGATGGGAAAAATAAGGCCTAATTGGCCTCCTCAGCGAGCACTGAGAAGAAAGAGGGTGTGCAAACGTGCTAACACGCTGCAGGGGAAAGTAAAAGCACCTGAGGTTAAGTTATTTACCTGGAGAAGTACCATGGAGGGTGGGAGACAGATGAATCCTATGGAACTCTTAATTGCTCGTGCCCATGTCTGAGCAAATAAAGCCAAGGTTCGCCAGTCACTCGGGGCTCTATGTCAAAGAGAGATGTGAGCTCCCTGGCCCCCTGGATTTTAAGATGTTTCTGTGTCTCTTTATTTTTCATCCTCGTTGCCCCTTGGTCAGGTTTGAGATAATAGGCTGGTTCCTGCAGCCCTCAAGAGTTAAGGATTGTACCTCAAATCGGAAAGGAAAAGAATGGCCCTCTCAGTTCTCTCAGTTGGATTGTTTGAAGAACTGTTAGATACCAACTCGTGCCCATACTTTTATTTTTGTTTTTATTAGTAGAAGTTTGCAGTACATGATTATATTTGTTGTGGAGACCATGTACATATCTTAGTTCTTTCCCTCCCCTCTTCATATCTTAGTCTCCTTCCCTTTTGCAAAAGATCTTAGCTCCCTATTTCCTATTATGTTTTAAAAATTTTTTTAATGCATGGCTTTTTTTTTTGTACTAGGGATTGAACTCAGGACCTCACATTTGCCAGAGAGGCACTGTGCTGCTGAACTACATCCACGGCAATATATGTTTATTACATAATGATTACATTCCTTGTGAGGGATTGGTACATGTACATAACACATTTTAATTCTTTTTTCACCCCCTACTTTCCCCCCTCCATCTCCTGATCCCCTTTCCATTTGAAAAAGATCTCTCCCTACTTTCTATCATCTATCTTTTATTTTGCTCTTTTTTTATATTTGGGGTTTCTTGTAGAAGAAAAACCATGCAATACTTATACCTGTGCATCTGATTTACTTCACGTAACACTATGGTCTCAAGGTGCATCCATTTTTCCTAAAAGTGACTCAAGTTTATCCTTTATGGTAGAGTAGTACTCCATTGTGTGTAAATACCACATTCTTTATCCATTTGTCTGCTGATGGACATATAGGCTGCTTTCAAGATGTAGTTATTCTGAATTGTGTTGATATAAAGATGGCTATGCATGTATCACTGTAATATGATATCTTTAACTCCTTGGAAGAAACCTAGAAGGGAAATAGCTGCATCAAATGGAATTTCTAATTTTAGTTTTTGGAGGAATCTTCATACCAATTTCCATAGTGATTGTACTAGTTTACATTCCCACCAATCTGTAGAAGGGTTCTGCCCCTCCCTTCAGCCTCTCCAACATTTGTTGTTATCTGATTTCTTGATGATGGCCATTCTTTCTGGAGTAAGATGGAATCTCAGTGTTAATTTGTATTCCTCTAATGACCTACAGTGTTCAACATTTCTTCATGTATTTATTGGCCGTTTGTATTTCTTCTAAGAAGGGTTTATTCATTTCAGTTAGCCATTTTTTTTTTTTTTTTGTAGCGGGGCTCAGGACCTAGTTCTTTCAAAGCAGGTGCGGGCACCACTGAGCCAAATCCCTGGCCCAGTTAGCTATTTTTGATCAGATCTTTTATTTTGGGGTGTCTATTTTTTGAGTTATGTATATATTCTACGTATTCTCTAAGGACTAGCTATCAAAAATTTTTTTTCTATTTCTTGTAGGTTGTCTCTTCACTTTGTTGGTTGTTACTTTTGCTGTGTGGAAGCTTTTTAATTTGATATCCCATTTGTTGATTCTTGGTACTATTTCCTAAGCAACATGGTTCTGTTCAGAAAGTCCTTGGCTATGCCTCTGACTTCAAGAGTTATCTATTTTATGTTTCAGCAGATTGTTTCTGTTTTAACATTTAGATCTTTGACCCATTTTGATTTTAGTTCAGTACATAGTGAGATATGTGGGTCTAGATTCAATCTTCTGCCTGGGGGCAGCCAGTTTTCCCAGCACCATTTTGTTAAAGAGGCTATCCTAGCGCACATGGGGCACCTGGGAGCTCCAGTCATTGGGCTCCAGCCCCTTGCTCCTGGCCATTTGCAAGGCAAGATGTTAAGGTGCACCCTGGAAAGCCGGGATGCTCAAACCAAACAACTGCAAGATGCTGTCACAAATGTGGAGAAGCATTTTGGGGAGCTGTGCCAAATCTTTGCTGCTTATGTGCAGAAAACTGCCAGACTGAGACAAAGAAGACCTCCTGGTGAATGAAATTAACATGTATGCCTCTACAGAGACCCCAAATTTAAAGCAAGGCCTGAAAAATTTCACTGATGAGTTTGCCAAACTTCAGGATTACCGACAAAAAGAGGTTGAAAGACTTGAAGCCAAAGTGGTTGAACCTTTGAAAGCTTATGGAGCAATTGTAAAACTGAAACAAGATGATCTCAAAGCAGTGTTAACAGCAAGGAATAGGGAAGCTAAGCAGTTAACTCAGAAAGAACCTGGCAACAAAACCCATCTGATTGACATGTAATTTCACAGGCAGAAGCCAAATTACACATAGCTTCAACAGATGTTACCCAAACAATTCGTCATCTGGAGGAAATTATTGACAATTTTGAAAAGCAGAAAATAAAGGATATCAGGAATATATTTTCAGAATTTATCACAATTGAAATGTTATTTCATGGCAAAGCTTTAGAGGTCTACACTGCTGCCTACCAAAATATACAAAAGATTGATGAGGATGAAGATTTAGAGGTTTTCTGAAATTCTCTGTATCCACTAGATTATCCATCTCGTTTAGATATTGTAAAAGCAAATTCAAAGTCACTTCTTCAGAGATCACTGTCAGCTAAGGGTGTATCTGGAACAGGACAGGTATCT